TGCTACTCCTCATCTGTGCGTTGCATTCATTTCAGCAAAACATTTTATCATTTTGTGGTATTGAAAGATTATCGGACAAAAGCTTCAGTCACGTAAATATTCCCCTATACCTGCAGTATGCTCCTCCTAGTCCATGTCCGTTTATACTCCAAATACTTAGTCATATCGTTGTAGCTGCAGCCGAGACATTTGATTACAACTCATTGAAATAGTTCGGGTTTTCAAAGATGACCCGCGAGCAAGATCGTGTTTTGCGGTTATTCGTGTAGCAACTTTTCGAGAGAGTTTATACTTAAGTTATCCCCTCCGCTTTCCATCCAAAACGAATTCCAATTCAAATTTGCCCAGCTCGTGCCGGGCATTGAGTTGAATAACCATTCGATACAATATTTTTCTCCCTTTGTATGCTCTTTTCTTTACAATCTCGCAGAATCTCCGCAAAAAATCGCCGACTTTTGTGGAATGCAAAGCTCGTACTGAAGATTTAAGAACCTCTGATTTCATAACGGCGACCGCTTACTTGCTATCCATAAATCAGGAAAAAATTGAGATTTTACACCTACAAATTTTGAAGTTTTGATGACAAGGTGGCACACCCGGCTTTGCCCGGCGTTGTCAGTAATAATTTCGTAATGAACATGCTCACTTACCCCCTGTGCCAACTCTCAGTGCATGGCTCTCCGGCAAAAAACGATAAAAATCGATATAGATCGATGACGAAAAATAGCCTACGACACGCTCGCCGCCCCGAAGTATAACTGTGCCAAGTTTCCGGATCGGAACTACTCGCGCGAAGACCGACCACATTCTCACCAATGGAAGGTGGAGCTTGCTTGATGTTTCAGTAGTTCCATCCTTCTGCAATGGCTCCGATCACGCCTCCTTCGAACGAAGGTATTTCAGTCGAAAGCTGGAAAAGAAAGTCTGTCACAGTGCCGCAAGAAGGAAGGAAGTTTATGACGGTAACAGGCTGGAAGAGCTCATATCAAGATGTGAACCCTGACTCGAAAAGGATCCAACGAACGACTACGACCGGCTTCTGAAAGGATTGCGGGCCTGCGGAGAGGCGCCTCAGTACTTCTGAGAAGAACTTGGAACGCATTTCCAAGTCCACCAAGGAATTCTCGAAAGAAGAAAATTTTTGAGGCAGGACCCGAGTGCAACCCACTCGAGCGTTTGATAGCCATCGCCTTGCAGAACAGTTTTGCAGGAGGCTCTCAGAAAGTACAGACAAACCAAGATACTGGAAGCAGCCGAAGTAAGACGAAGTCTCAAGGGGCCTTCGTGAATATTAAGTACCGCTGGCTGCACTATTGAACGAAGACGGGACTCCGACTTCTTCTCGACAAAAGATGGAATCTATCGCATAACTTCTACACCAACCTTTTCCACTCATCAACACCCGTGCCGATGCCCGTTGTTCCCGCTGGAGAAGTATCCACCACGAATTCTACCTGCTGAAGTGCGCACGGCGATTCAGACCATAAAGACGTCCATGGCTCCAGGGCCAGACCATCTTTCCATCGAATTTCTGCGAGCCGGAGGATAACGTTTACACGAAATCCTCGCCTCGCACCTGCATCTTACCTTCAGAAGGAGAGGATTCCCGACCAGTGAAAACGTAAATAACCGTCCTTTTCTTCAAGAAGGGTGAAGAACGGGAGGATCTTCGGAACTACCGTCCAATATGCCTGCTGAGTGTGCTGTACAAGCTTTTCACGAAGATTATCCTCGCTCGCATATTTAGGACACTGGATGACGCCCAACCCCAAGAACAAGCTGGATTTCACAAAGGGTTCAGCTGCATGGACCACATCCACACGGTTTCGAGAATCATAGAAGTCTGCCGGGAGCACCGACTGCCTCTCGTCTTAACCTTCGTCGACTATGAGAAAGTCTTTGACAGCGTTGAAAGCAACGCCATCCTGTCAGCGCTAGTCGATCAAGGGTCCACCCAGCTTACTAGAGGACGTTAGCTGATTGCTATAAGGACTGTACAACGACGATGCGTCTGTTCTACTCCCCCTCCCCCTGACCATCCCAATTGGAAAGAGATTCCGACAAGGCGATACGATTTCGCCGAAGCTGTTCACCGCCTTGCAGTGGGTGATGAAGTCACTGGACTAGGACGAGAGGCATACGAGTTGATGGGAAATTCCTGTCAGTCCTTCTTTTGCGGACGACATCGTTCTTTTCACGAACAGTTTTACTGAAGCAGTGACGATGCTGTAGGAACTGAACGAAGTAGGGAAGAATATCGGAATGCGAAAATTGGAAGAAGACTCACTCATGAAGAACGCCCTTTGCGTAGCTGCGAAATGGAATTGGAAGGACCCCTGTTGGAAGACGTCTTCTTACGTGTATCTCGGACTTTCGATGAACTTGGAGAATGAATTGAGGGAAGAACTTAACAGGAGAAGAAGAGGAGGCTGGGACGTATTGGGGCCTCTGAAGGAAGCCACCGATCAACTGACGGACCCCGAGCTTCGTGCTCACCCGTTAGACTCAGTCGTTTTCCCGGAGCTCTGCTACGCAGTTGAGACTTGGCCCGACACTGTAAACACGTCCAAAGCTCTACGGACCACACACAGAGCGCTTGAGCGCAGTCTTCTGAAGATGAGCCGACACAAGCAACATATTGTCGGACTTCACAGTACAGATGTGAGAAAAATGTTCTGTTTTTGTGTCCCAGCGGAATACGTTGCGAAAGCGAAACATTGATGGGCCGGTCACATCATTAGAAGAAGAGACGACAGATAGACACTAAGAACCGGAGTGGATTCCTTGCGAAGCAAATGTCCCCAAGGAAGATCTCTAACGAGATGGGCAGAGTGTTCGTGGAACGGATGGACCAGCTGAGAAACCAGCTGTGGCCGTATTCATTATTGATACCTTGAGGTAAATTCTACCTCCAGGTAGTTTTATCACTCATTATCAGCAAATACCCGTACTCACAAAAGTACCTTGAGATAAATTCTCAAGGTAAATTTTACCTTGAGAATTTACCTCAAGGTGTTTAGTACTGGATGAAAAACACCTTGAGGTAAATTTTACCTCAAGGTACTGTCATCACTTAAAATCCGTATTCATCAAACGGACTGCATTTATTAGATTGTAACAGAATTAATGCAGGTTTTAAATTCCAACCGCAATAAGTCATACACTTCTCATTTCTAAGTGGGTTGCAAAATACCATTCGATAGAGCAAAGCAATCTCTACAAGGTGGCAATCTTGCTTAGCAACAACTCTGATCCACCACGAGTTTCGAGCCAAAAACTAAAAAGATTCAACTGTCCGAAAAATCGAGAAAAATCGTAACTCAGTTCATAAAAAACCTACAAAAATTCTAACTTGCTCACGTAAACACTATTTACATGAGACATCTATACATGCCTTGGGCGTATTTTTTTCTCTGTTAGAAATCAAGAAAACGGAAATTTTCGTGCGTTTGCCAAAGTGATGCTGTGCCGTTCCCACATAAGTAGTTGTATACTACGAATCTGTACAAGTATAAAGGTGAGTTTTCAGCCCCCTACAAGCTTTAGTTCTCGGAAAATATCGAATACAGTTTCCGCTAGTCATGTGGTCCAAGCTAAAATTCAAATTTCTCGAGAACTAAAACCTGTAGAGAGCTGAAAAGTTACGTTTGCACTTCTACAGCTTTGTAGTATACAACTACTTATGTGGGAACGGCACAGCAACACTTTGGCAAATGCACGAAAATTTCCGTTTATTTGATTTCTAACAGGGAAAAAAATACGGGCGTGTATAGATGTCTTATATGAATAGTGTTTACGTGAGCAAGTTAGAATTTCTGTAGGTTTTTATGAACTGAGTTACGATTTTTCTCAATTTTTCGGACAGTTGAATCTTTTTAGTTTTGGCTCGAAACCCGAGGTGGATCAGAGCTGTTGCTAAAGCAAGATTGCCACCTTGTAGAGATTGCTTTGCTCTATCGAATGGTATTTTGCAACCCACTTAGAAATGAGAAACGTATGACTTATTGCGGTTGGAATTCAAAACCTGCATTAATTTTGTTACAACCTAATACCTTGAGGTAAATTCTCAATGCAACTTCTAACCTTAACAGGCAAGGTTAGAAGGATACCTATATAGATCTATAGACTTTCGGAAGCTGGTTTTTCTGCATGAGTAATGCAGTAACGTAGATTAGGTCACTGTGGCAATTTTGCAAGATTTCGCTGAGATTATTGAGAGTTATGGGGGTTGAGCGAACTTAAGACAAAAATTGCAGTTTATATTCTTAGAAACTTTATACATTTTAACAAACGTGTGGCTAGATGTAACTACGCAGGAGTCATTCTCTTCCACAGCATCTTGAGCACACTAGCTGTGTTTAATCATAAAGAAAACCGATGTTCCAACACGTTCCTCGTGAAAATATCACGTAAATACAACAAGCGTTTACTGCAAATGTTTCATGCCATGCTCCTAGTATACGTCAGTCCTAATCATCTTGGCACAGGTAAATCTAACCTTGAGAGAGAGACTTTGATGAATACGAAAATTATACCTTAAGGTAAATTGTACCTTGAGGTACAGCTCAAGGTAATTTGTATTGCAGTAGGGTTTATTCTAATAACATCATTTTTTGGGTTGGTAAGAAAGTTTTCGGACACTTTCGCTAAAATTGATATTTCTCGGGTGGTAATGCATCTACGGACGTGAAAATTTGTAGATGTACTTTCACATATATGCGGCTTATATCTGTGCAGGTGGAAGGAGCTTGGGGTCAATAGGGGCGGAGTTTGCCACTTTTCGATTATCTCACTTTTCCTGCTAATTGAGCTCAAATTCCATGCAGACCTTGCATGGAATTTGAGCTCAATTAGCAGGAAAAGTGCATGTATGTGAATTCATGTCTACTTTATACTGGAATATTTGTGAGTGTTACAGTGTTTACGGAAGGTGGAGTTCTGAGCTCTATCGAAATCCTATGTCTTCGAATTTTCGCCTCTATTTTCAAGAATTCATTGGTCATGGTTGTGATTAGCATGGTCTTGTAGTGTTTGTTTTTCTCTATCCAATGATGTACAGCATACCCTATTTGGTGCTTGCATCGAAGCATTATCTTTGTATACAGGGAATGTCCGAGAACTTTCTTACCAACCTAATAGTTGAGCAGGGGAGGGTATGTTGAATAAAATCAGTTCTTTTTCTAAAGGACGGCCAAATTTGTCGAAAAGAACTCCGAAGTGTCCAAAAGCGCCGAAAAGCATTGAAAGCGGGAAAAGCACCACGCGCCAGCCACAAGCTCCTGAAAAATCACTGAGGTCTGCAAGCTCAAAGTTATTGGCACGGTCAAGTTCTCTTTTTATTTTTTTTTCGAAGCAATTATCGTTTCAGACTTGAAAAGGGGCCAAGTAACAGGTGAATAATGCAAAACAAACAGGGTAAGAACCTTTCAAACTCAAAAACTAAACTTATATAAACTTCTTGAGCACAATAAAAAAAACAGTGATTACAATGTGACCGGCGTGATTACCCAACGATGTTTTGGTAGAAAATGCAACCTCATAACCGAAAACTGCCACTTAAAGTGATTGGTATTACATTTTAGCTTTCTCGGGCTTTCGCATCCGAAAAGTTTTTCCTTCCCAGTGGCAGGACCATTCCAAGAATTTATGTTTTAATTCTACAATTCTTCAATGAAGAGAAACCGGTGTTTTGTGCACGATGCGAATACCAATCTTTTCGAAGTAATGCCATCTTTACGACAAACCCACTTGCAAACTTTGGTTCGAATGCAAAGGATTCAACAAAGTTACACTGTTGCAAAGTTAGGCTGAAAGACTTTGCGACAGCCTGTACATATTTCTTCGAGGCCACTGCAACTTGCTATCCTCCGCTCATAAGTTTCGAAAATGAGGTGCGAACTCCTGTTTTGTCAAAATATGTAGTTTGAGCAAAGAAAATGGCCACAGATTCCCTTTGATCTTTTAGGACCTGAGGCATTCTCATTTTATCGTAATCGAATATGTAAGGGTACTTCGAACCGTCTCCCTGGCAAAACATGTCATCTCGGGCCCGAAGGATACAAAATTACAATATATTTTGTTTTATGAAGAGTTTTATCCGCAATAAGAAACTTAATGCACCGCTTAGACTCACATCGTGGTCGGAATAAACGTCACTGTATAGCAGAATGGCAAAGGTAGAATTCACCTTAAGGTACATTGATGAATACGAATCGCTCGAGGTACAATTTACCTTGAGGTAAAATTTACCTTAAGGTAGAATTTACCTTAGGTTCAATGATGAATACGGCCTCTGGATACGATTTTTGCACCTGGAACTCGTGGACGCAGCCACCAACATCAGCCAAGAAGATCGTAGATGTCTGTAGCGAGGGACAGGGAGACTGCATCTGAAGGATTGCAATATTTATGATTATGTGCAAAGAAAAGCTTTACTGCTCATTATGCTTGAAAAATTTCGATTTTTTTCCGAATATTCGAATATCGAATATATTCGAAAATCATAAATTTCGAATTCGAATATCGAATATATTCGAAAACTGGAAATTTCGAATATTCGACTTTTCGAACCCTTCGCATTCGAATGCCCTTCGCATTCGAATAATTTATCTGAATAATTGAGTAATCATTCGATTCCAGTCAAGTCTACTGCTCATGTGCAAAAAACGGCTTTACTTTCAAAATTTATATATTAGTAGTATCTGGATAATTGATTGAACGAGTGTGCGAAGCACCAAATTGAGAATAAAGGGTTTGAACTCAGAGCTCCTGTCAAACCAGAACACCGTCGACTTTCAAAACCATTACATGCCTGCCCCCAGGTTCGTGACGGCAATGTCAGAAAATCACTACAAAGAAGGTCTTACATTGGTGAGTTTGCTTAGGATATTTTTTGCTTGTTCACACACGTCAAGGAGCGTTGTTTAAAGGCAGCGTCCACCCAGAATCTGGCCTCCCATGTTTTCGTCATTCTGAGGCCTTTCCGTGGCCCTGATTACAGTTCCGAACTTCAAACTTTCCAAGATTCACAAAAAACCCGATTCTTGGGGACCCTCTCTTGAGGGCACGGACAAGTTTCAGATCGCTCGTCCCCGTCGGCATGCCAGCGGGGAGGAGCTGCAACTCCATGGGTGCAGAGTTGCAGCGGTGTACAGCTTCTGCTCACTACCACGTTAATACGTGTTATCAGCCTCCGCCCAGCCAGGAACTTCCAGGCCCCTTATCTCCATTCAGAGACAACGTTAGAAGACCGGACCAACGCAGGTGCCCCTTTTTGGGGCTTACATTCAGAATCGACACTAATCGGAGGGGGTTAGGATTAGCCTGGACACTGCCTTTAATACAACCTTTTCCTCCACGCCGAGAACCAATTGCAAACCTCAGGGATAAATAATTCAAATCTCAACTGAAAAAATAACAGTTGCTGTTGTTGAGGCTATGCGAAGTGCGTTTGAGTACCCGAACATTGTTCAGTCAAGCTAAATAAATTCAACCGAGTAGATGAGCACAATCGATAGCAAACCCCCACTCGAAATCAATGGTAACAATGGTTTTCACTGCAATCAAGAAGTAATACAACATGGTAAATCGCAACGACATTTTAGCTATTAGCACATGAGCAAATTTTGCAGTTTTATGCTAGGAAGGTTACTTGATATATGCTTGTGGCCATTAACGTGTAGATTGTTTTGTTCACATACAGATCATATCACCTATACTGATATCGGTTTTATATTACCGAAGGACGGTAGTAAATGCATCAACGACAATGTTTCGAAACGGTTCAAACTTTCGTTAATCCATTTTCAATTTAATCCTCTCACGACATTGATAGAGCCTAGGAAGAAGCTAACTTGAAAAACTGCGAAATTCTGCAAAAACTCACAACTGACTTTACCAGCACATCTTGGTAGCAGTAGAGCTGAGTAGGAGCACTAGTAAACATTTGAAACGTAGTCCCCCCTGGTTTCGCAAATTTTCACGACATAGTTTTCGTGGAAAGATATAAAGAGTTTGGAAATGAAGAAGCGAAAAAAGGAACACTGCGGTTTTCTCATAATTTAAGAGCCAATAAATTAAGGAAAACAAAGTTTGACTTGATTACTAATAGGGTACTGCAACATACATGCTACACAAGAACTCACGAATTATGCAAGAAAGGAGAAAGTTAGAGGATTGTATGCAGGGTCAAGCGTGGCGTGTGGCACGCCATAGCTGGGGGGGGGGGGGTGAGTCGTATTGAGGAGTCAAAAGGGGAGGAGGTCGTTGTTGGGTAATCTGGTAATAGTGATAACACGATATTCGTATCATATCCATAATATGTCAATTAACCGCTGTAGACAAAGTTTGAGCGAATTCTGAAGATTCAAGGTACTAGGCTACCCAGATGAAATGATCATATTCCAACATGTTTAACTTTGTTTTAAAGGTGAATTAGCTATCCGTTTTTTGCACTGAAAACAAAGCACACCTTCTTTGTCCATCTCAGAAATCCCGCTTTAAAAGACCTCCAAACTGTGGAATTAGAAGCCAACCAAAACCTCATTTTTCCCATTTTTCGCTTTTAATGGCTGTGCTTTCACGGGGTATGACTCAGAGTCAAGAAGACGAATAAGGCTTAAAACATTCCTATGGAATCTACGAGGTCTAGGCTATCGATTTATATAAATACTGTTCGCTAAAAATGTTTTTTTGATATAGTTAATGGGGTGTGGCACCATCCCCAAAAAGCTGTGGCTGCCACACCCCACGCTTGACCCTGATCATAAATCAACTACGAGAGGGAAAAGAAGAATGGGTTGAAGACGTAGCATTACTATTGTCAAATATGTAAAAAAATATAAAAATATATATACAGGGTGTCCCAAAAAATGTTTCGAACGTTTGATCGTTAATATCTCTCTTCCCAAGAAGTCTTTTGCTTTGCTTCAGGGACCGTTTTGTAGAGCTGGCTTCAACTTAGATTTGCATTATAGAACGAATCACCCATCTCTCTTCATTACTGTAGGATTACGGTAGAAACTTGAAAGAGGGTTTTAAGCAATGAAAGGCCATATTTTGCCTCAGAAAAGAAACAAAACAGCCTGAAAGCTTCTACACTAGGCTAATTAGAGTTGCTGATTATAACTGTAAAGTTTCCGACTTTTTATGATGCTTCATTGAAGAGTTATGCCAGGTAAGAGGTAGCGGTAATTTTTTCAATGTTTCTAAAAAGGGCGATTACACCGTTTAGAAAACTTCGTAACCTTGTGAACAGTGGAGTATTGAACTCAGCGTCCATAAAAACCCTATTACACAAGTTTTCACAATTATTTGAAAAATTTTGAAACGGCAGCTTTTTTCCACATTGACACCACATGTTTCAAGTTTCTACCGTAATCCTACAGTAATGAAGAGAGATGGGTGATTCGTTCTATAATGCAAATCTAAGTTGAAGCCAGCTCTACAAAACGGTCCCTGAAGCAAGGCAAAAGACTTCTTGGGAAGAGAGATATTAACGATCAAACGTTTGAAACATTTTTTGGGACACCCTGTATATCTTATATATAAAGCTGAATGTCTGTTTGTATGTCTGTATGTATGTCTGTATGTATGTCTGTCTGTCTGTCTGTCTGTCTGTCTGTCTGTCTGTACGTATGTTCCGAATAGAAAATTCCATTTCTGAACCGATCGGGACCAAACTTGGCACACATACACTTCGGGCCCCGGCGGGTGTCATAGGCTACTTTTCGTCATCGATCGATATCGATTTTATCGATTTTTTGCAAAATTAGAGCTACGGGGCTGGGAGTTGGCACAGGGGGGTAATCGAGCATGCTGATCACCCCCTTGGGGGTGATCAGCATGCTCGATTACACCCCTCTGCCAAATTCCACCCCCCTACAAATTTTGCAAAAAATCGATAACATCGACATCGATCGATAACAAAAAGTGGACTGTGACACCCGCCGGGGCCCGAGGTGTATGTGTGGCAAGTTTGGTCCGGATCGGTTAAGAAATGGAATTTTCTATTCGGAACATACGGCGGAGCCGGGTAAGCCAGCTAGTAAAATATATAAAAATGAGATTTTGGTTGGCTTCTAATTACACAGTTTGGAGGTCTTTTGAAGCGGGATTTCTGAGATGGACAAAGAAGGAGTGCTTTGTCTTGAGTGCAAAAAACGGATAGCTAATTTACCTTTAAAACAAAGTTAATCATGTTGGAATATGATCATTTCATCTGGGTAGCCTAGTACCTTGAATCTATAGAATTTTGTCTACATGGGTTAGTTGACATGCTCATTATGGATATGTTGCTCATTATGTTTGACAGGGCTTCAGGTAATGCTATCTTCGGTATATAATTCAGGAGGGTCTTATTAAGGCAGCAATCAAGGGAGGGGGGCGTAACCAGCGATCGTGTGCCACACCCCTTGCTTGACCCTGATTGTATGTTTTGGCATGCAAGCCCAGCCGGCAAGGTGCCGTGAGATGCCAGTTCTTTGTAGAAGCTTTTATTCATAGTGATCTTTCAAAGTTTACACAACCTAATTCACGTTTTTTACATGTCGTTTCTATCTCCGCTGCACAGACACTCAATCTGGTGTCATCTCTTGCTTCTTGATGTGGATGTCAACCTTTCTAGATAAGCGCCATTCGTCTTTTTCGCGCACAACTTTGAACTCCAGCGGGCCACAAAATCGTTTTAACAGTACTCTATTTTTACGGGTACAGGGCGCACCTGTTTTTTTCTGAACTCGACCACCTTGAACACAGCAAAAAATTTTGCGACCAAAGGACCTTCTACGTGCTGCCCCTTACCAGAGAGTGTGTGGATAAGGGAGAATTTCGCGAGGCACAATGATTTGGCAGAGCTGTTTGCTTAAAAAATTGAAAAAGATGCTGCTGCTTGTACTCGTAAAAATAGGGTGATGGTCCTTTCACAAATGCGGCGTTCGGGCAGTATCGGCTTACTCCACATGTTGTACGTTTGACGGGCCGTGCCCCTTTCGTCTCCCCCACTCTCAAAACATCAGAAAACTAGGTTGGCGTAAAAGTAATGCTCTTATATAACTTCTGTTTTTTTGAATTCGGCGCTTTCATTTTTTGATATTATGGTCATGTTATAGGTTATAAATGCAGCCATTTTTGTCGAATTGCTCCATCGCATGTTAGGGTGATGGAGGTTTGCGGTAAAAAGGAAGAAATTTCAAATCATTTATTCTCTGCTGATACTTGGCCTACACAGGTTACTCGAGACATTGATTACAAAAATGATACCTATTTTCCAATAGGTATCTTTTTTTTATGTTAAATTATTAACAAAAATTAATTAATCAACTTTTTATCATTTTTTTAATCTGTTAGAGCGCGCCAATGTGCGTATGAAATAAATAAAACAAATAAATAAAATAAAGGCGTAGCCTCTTTTATAAGGTTAAAATATAATTTTTCGTCCTAGCCACAGATGAAATACGTCATTCGTGCTCAGCATGTCGAATTTTATTGTGTGCAATTTTGGAAAAGAGGTTCCGCAATTTAGTTGTTGACAGATGCCCAGATGACAGATGATGATCAAATTTGACGCATTTGCCTTTCAACTTTCGAGGGCGCTAGAATTAATTTGTCTGCAAGTCATTTCTTTTTCAATGAACCCAATAAATCTTTTAGCAACATGCTGCCTACATTTATTTCTGCGTTCTATTTGAGCTGTGCGCTTTCTTGCTCGAAACTAAGAACTCGATCTTCAACAGCTTTTGAGAAATGCTTGGATTTTCTGTCATATTATCACTAAACAAAAGGTTTGTAGCTCACATCACAGTTTATTAGGTCGTTCCATAAGTTCATAGTTTCCAATCTCGTCCTCGTTTCTTCGATAAGCGATAGTTCTCTGCTGCAAATAAGAGCGCGCGCTTTTACGAACTTGTTGATTCCTACGAAAATTCAATCTAGTAGAATTTTTCAAATTCAAAGGTGGAATTATTAGAAGATAAAAAGAAGCATTTTCAACAATTCTTCATGTTTTTTTACTTAAACAAACACTTTTGTTTTTGCTAGTTTTGGAAAATGACGTTGTCATATGAGACAAGAAAAGACTGAAACGCTTCAAAAGAAAAGAGTTGCAGAGAGTACCTCCTGACCAAGAATTTTTGTGGAACGGGTGGGAAGTCCTGCACTCAATGCTGGACAAAAATAGGACGATTAAACACACCTTAGATAGTCCAACTGCAGTTTCCAAACAATTACTTCGTGCAGAAAACGCTTACTGAACCGTTTAAACAAATATTTCTGCATGACAAAATATGGCTCTGTACTGTCGTCGAACTATCCTGCAAGACTTTACTGGGAGGTACATTGTGAAACGAAATGTGATGTGTACCATATTAGATGGCATAAAATGCTGATTCCAAGTCTGCCTTCCTTATCTGCAGAACATTTACGGACGAGGAGTTATGAGCGCTTTTGGAGGCAAAAACTGAACGTGCATTTTGGATAAAATGAGTTGATAAGATCTTTCTAGTTTTCAAATAATGCAACCAAGTGTGATATATTTTTTATTCAAGAGTATATTTGCATAAAGTGCTCCGATGATTGTCATTGCTTCATTGAAGAGCTAGAAAAAGTATTACGGCTATTTCTGTCCTAGTTCATCATTCAATTTTTGGCTTCAAAAAACGCTCATGACTCCTCGTCCATAAACGTTTTGCAGATAAGGAAGGTAGATTTAGAATCAACATTTTATGCCCTTCAATACGGTATACATCCTATTTGAAAACCCTCTCTCTTGCGAATCTTATAAACGGTGTTTGCTTCAGTTCTGAAGGGGACCTCAGGCGCTGGTTAAACAATTTTCTTGGGATCACATGTTGTGGAAAAACGTAGTCGAAAATCAGAATACAAGGCGGCAGAAGGTTGTGCGCATCAAAGAAACACACTTCACCGTAATGTGATAATTCCGTCATTTTGCTCGTTTATGAAGACGCTACGCACTTATGAAACGAAAATTAAAGCACTAAAAATGAGAGCGCTGCATTTATAATGAGAAAAATTGTTAGAAAAATTGCGTAACTATGGGTAAACCCAACAGAAGCGCTAAGTGCTTGAAGAATTTTGAAGCTTCAATCATTTTCTAAGCGGCTCTTTTGTGCGGAGTCTCAAACGCGCTCGATATTGCCACACATATTTCGTAAGCACTCTATCTGTGTACTGTTTGCATCCGCTGTTTTAGCATCGTAAAATCGTTTGTCAAAATAGAGCCCTCAAAACGGGGTTTTCATAAATGACACTCGATTGCGCTTGCATTCAGAATAGCCAACAAGTGGCCAGGAAGTGACATAAACAGCAGAGAAGCCCCGTACACTGCATTCGAACAGTTTATGAAGCTGCTGATGCGTATATCCAAGCGGAAACAAGTATATATGGCACCATTCTATTCCCCCTACGAACGCAATAGTCGGCTTACTTGTGTATCAATCGTACCGATCCTTGCAATTAATGCTCGCACTTCTACACAGTCGCATTAAATGGAAAAGTTAGAGAACTGGGTAGGGTTCATACAAGTCTTTTACAACTTTCAGCAAAACTAAGCAAATCAAATTTACAGATAGCAAATATCCGCAAGATTTGGAAAACGGAGTTAATTATTGTTTATGACATAGGCCTCAATAACAAGTCTGCAGCTTATATACAAGTAAGGATGATGTCTTTACACTCTTTTAATTACAAAGTTTCTTTTCGAGAGCAAATGCTTTGTGGAATTGCGAAAGTTTTCTTTCGAGATGTATCCCGACTATGTCGCAAAACTCAAGGAGTATAGATGGAAACCCATTTTGATAGCAGTCAGTTTGGTTTTGGTGCATTTTTTAAGCTGTTTAAGGTTCGCACGTTCAGATGACACTGAAAGAATTTGGTGCTGTTTGGTACCTGGATGCTTCCGTAAGATGGCACAGAGATGATCGAGATACATTCTACAAAGATGTTACATGTGGCAAATTAGGACGGCCAGAGAGGTTTGATGAACTCATTTTAGTGACCTATTCATTTTTTTTGCTCGGCACCGAATCTCACAGAACCAGGTCCTACAAGTTCAACTTCCTAGTGCAGCTCCTAATTAAAGCGTAGGCTGGGTTCAAACTGATTCCCATGTTCCGGAACTGTTTCCGCACAGTTGCCGCAGTGTGCTGGAACTGTTCCGAAACCGTGCTGCATGCGCTGCAACTGCCCCGCAAGCGTTTTGAACGGCGGAAGTTGGAAAATTTTAACCTTTTCAACGGTTTTTCTTCCATGTTACTCTTCTCATATTGCCTTATTCCTCTACTCCGTTTCCCCTTTTGATCAGCAAAACTTCGAACTTGAAACGGGGTTAAAGAACGAGGGCTCTCCTGCTCTAAATGTCCGACAAAATGTGTGTTCTCGCTCTCGTCCATTCCCGCTTCGTTTTGTTTTTACTCCGACCTATTTCATTTGTTCCAGGAAGCAGTTTCGGTACTTTCCGTAAGCATCTGTCTCGAATTAAGGCTTTTGAAATTGCGATATTTGGAACTTTGCTCTTGTTTTCTGGAGAGTATCGTTTTTTAGCATTCTCAACTCCTTCCCTTCTTCCATATCTTTGCTTCCGTTCTTTCCACAAATCCGCTTCTCCTTGTGAGAGAAAAGCTGCGAGTTTAGAGCGGGGTTGAAGAAGGAGCGCTGTTCTGCTCCATGTATCCCAGCTGATGGGTCCTCGTGCTCGTCCATTCTCTCTTCGCTATTTTTGTTCAGACTCACTTCATATCTTCCAGAAACCTGTCTATGTCCCTTTCAATACAAATGCGGGACTACGCAGCTTCTTCATGGAACAGATGAAATAAGCTTGAGCAAAAAGCAAACGAAGCGAGAATGGACGAGCGCACGAACAAACATTTTGTGGGATATGCAGAGCAGAAGAGCGCCATTCTTCAACGTCGCTTCGAGTTCGAAATTTTGCTGCAAAAAGGGAAGCGGGGTAGGAAAACGGTCAAAATTCTCCCGCCGTTCAAAACGGGCGGTTGCAGCGCGTGCAGCACAGTTCCGGATTAGTTCCAGCACAGCGCAGAAACTGTGCGAGAACAGTTAGAAAACATGGGAATTAGTATAACCAGCCTACAATGCAGCTTTGCTTCCTTTATTAGCTGATGTATACAAATACTCATAGTGGTTTTGGTTCAGGGTCTTAGTAGTTTACTTAGCACTAGTACTTTCTACTCAAGTTTTAGAGCACTTTTTTCCTCTACTGTCTTTTTGGAACAAAAAGCAAAGATTCTCTAACGTTTCGAATCATTTTTGGAGACAAATTTCATGATGAGTCTACCCGTCTATAACCTTACACCAGCACAAGCAATTCAGTTACCTCTCGCTGCATCTTTATCTCCTCGTTTTTAGAGATCTTTTTCAGAGATACATGCAAAAATCAAAGGGAAACTAAAATCTTCAAATTAGAAGTGCTCATCAAAATTGTTTTCTTTAATTAATCACGCTTTTTTTTGAAACTTACGACTTCCATAACTTTCATTGAGATTGAGATGTGGAAATGTGAAAGTAGGAAAAAGCACTGGCACAACTTTGCTTTATCTACTGGTTATTACTGCTCACTAGTTGGCGCCCAGCCCTGTCAATAATTTTGTAATCAGCATGTTCATTTACCCCCTTCCTGTGCCAAGTTCCAGCCCTTTAGGTGAAACTTTGCAAAAAAACCGGCAAAATCTATATCAATCAATGACGAGGAGTAGCCTACGACACTTATCCCGCTTCGAAGTTTATGTGTATCAAATTTGATCCTGATGATCCGGTTCAGAAGTAAAAAAAAACTCTATTCGAAACACACACACACACACACACACACACACACACACACACACACACACACACACACACACACACACACACATATATATATATATATACATACACATACATACATACATACATACATACATACATACACACACACACACTCACACACACACACACACACACTCACACACACACACACACATACACACATACATACATACATACACACACACACACATACACACACATACATACATACATACATACATACACACACATACACACACATACATACATACATACATAAATACACACACACTCACACACACATACATACATACATACACACACTCACACACACACACATACATACATACATACACACATACATACACACACATACATACATACATACATACACACACACACACACAAGACAATAGACATTCAGCTTTACTTGTACAGATAGGAGTATGACACAATATTTTGAGATTCACTTTAACTAAAACATGACATAAACGATAAGTTGGAAACATTGTAGATTAGCCTTTTGCACCGCCCTAAAGACTCAGGCTTGGAATTGTAGAAATTGAAATGATACAGAAAGTGTTCGCAAATCTTAATTTCAACGGATTCGCATATTGATCTAAAGAACGCGCACAACTTTTGAAACCTTAATCGTAATGCACGCGTATGGAACGTATGTTTGTATGCACGTCATGCACGTGCATGGAACGAGAGACTCAGTTTTGGAAACAAAAAATCACTGATTTTGGTTCAAAAAGCAAAGAGATGGAATTTTTTTTGGAAAAGGCACAGAATATGCGAGAAGCTGTGTTTATATGTTCGAACTCGTCAATTTCAAGCCATGCTTGTACGTCTTATTGTCTTTCTGGTGGTGAAGGGCTAAGCGAGAAAATATTGCAGTACTCACGGTCTTGGTACTTACGTTTAGTACTTACGGTTTGCAGTACTTACGTTTTCCGTACGGTTTTTGAAGCGAACTCGCTTTCACTTAAATGAAACCATACATAAGGAAATATGAAAAAAATTTATAAGATGTACCATTAAAAAAAGATCTTT